CAATAAAAATGCGACATGAAATCAACGCAACATGGCGCTAAAACATAAAACTGCTTACCTCAAACTCTTTTTTCTTCCTCTTTCACCGCTTTTTTTCAGCATACATAAAACCTTCAACTGCCAAAGTGTGATTCATCATGCTCTTTTTGTTTACCACTAGCGCATGCTGATGACATTTTATTCTTCTATAGAAATGTGCGTCGTAGCCTACGGACAGTGCTGTATAAAGTACCTGAAAGCCATACTCAAGTAAAAGTACAGATATCCTACCAGAAAATGACTTTGGTAGAAGTTGAAGTCACCGTTTAGAATATTACTTGAGTAAAAGTCTTAAAGTATGTGATATTTATTGTACTTAAGTACGAAAAGTATTTTATAAATCTTAAACTTAAGTATTGAAAGTAAAAGTACAAGTAAATGCAAAATGGAAAAGAAGCAAATAAATAATATATATAAAATGTTCATACACAAAAAGTCCCCGGATGGTCTACTATTTCAGGTCGATTTTTGAAGTGTGGATCCGTGCACACTCTAATGGCTAAAATTGCCCACAATCCATTGCGCTTTGGCGAAGAATTCGGTCCAGAACTACAAACACGAATAAAACGTGTAAGAAAAACTACAAGCATGGCAGATGCGCGCGATCGACGGTTAGGTAGAGAGGTTTACAAAAAGGGGTTTGAGTTACTAATAATCAACATTTAACCTGGTAAAAAATATGTATTTATTGTTATCCATGTTATATTTCATCTGCAACAGTAATGTGAACTTTTATAAACATCCATTTGGTCATGAACTTTTAAATGCATCATTATGTAGAAAATATGAGCAGAGTTCTCCGCATGAAAGACCCTCGACTGTGACAAGATGATTGACAGACCAGTTTACAGTGACAGGGTGCGTGTAACCGAGCGGTCCGTTAAAGACGCAATTGTGTGACGTGATAGTATGTCCCAGAGCTTGCCTACTCTTCTACTACACACTCAAAAGTGTGTACTTTTTCTTCACCAAAAGAGTACATACTTTAAGGGCGTAGTATAAGTAGGCACATTGAGACACAGCAAGAGTTAATGAGTGAATCACTGAATCATTTTTATCAACCAATTCGTTCAAAAAGCTGATTCATTCAATAAGTAAACACCATCC